CGAAATTCAGGGATAACCATTTTTATTTTCCTATTCTTGGTTGGCGATCACTGCAATCGTAAGATTATTCGAAACACGTTTTCAACTGTATGAACATTTTGCCAAGGCATTGACAATAAAATACTTGCGTATTTCACGATTACACACAAATAATACACAAGCAAACGCAGCTAGCATCCGACTATCGTTGAATATTTTCAATTACTCCGCGCTAAAATACGTAATTCAAGTATTTTCTTCCACGCGTAATTCTCGATATATGCGTCTGATAATAACCAATCTATCTCCATTAATTACATCAACTTAATCATCAATTAACGAATAATGGAGAATTGCTCGATATCGTATTATTATAATGTAAGAGGTGCGTAAATTCCAACTGGCAGCCTCAAAAGCTATAAATACCGATAACACGTTCGGACGCAGCAGAAGACGAAGAAGAAGAAGCAGAAGAAGAAGAAGAAGAAGAAGAAGACGACGAAGAAGAAGAAGAAAGATGAAGAAAAAGGAAACTCATCTCTGAGACAATAAAAGCCGGGCAAACATAGCATAGCGCGCTGCTAGAGTCGAGTCTCTACACCTTGCTTTGCCTCCCTGTGAAATCACGTTCTAATAAAAGCGCGATCATCGCTCGGCGAAGCGGGAAAGTTGCAAGGCCGTTCGTCGACACCGCGCCGCTCTGGCCGATGATCGAAAACGATCTCTCTCTCTCTCTCTCTCTCTCTCTCTCTCTCTCTCCGCGCTTGAAAACCAGTCGGTGATGTCGTCCACACGAATCTCCGATTCTCGCGCGTTGCATCATTTTCTCTCTTCTCGCTCTCGCGGGCGCCACTTCGATTTTCTGCGAAGGTCCTCGAACCTTTTATCCCGGCTCTCGTAAAAATACCGTTGCCGCGTTTCTCTTTGCTCGCTCTCTCGGCTTCTTTGCCCGAAGCTTATAAAATGCCTAAATTGTTTGTCATTTCACCACATGCGCGCCGAAAACCCTTACGGTTTCGAGCGGTATAGCCAGGCAGAACTGTTATAACGATTCCGATGACTCCGCGCGCTTATCGAGGCGGATATTACGTATTTGTATATTTATATACACATATATTTCTTTTAAACGCCCGTGTGAAAATGAGAAATATAGGATGACGGACAACAGTAAGCAGATTCAGATAAGATTTGCGTGTAAAGGTCGCACTGGCAATGTGATAAATCAGACTTCGGTGCGCGCGTAGCTCTTTAAACGCGCCTATTCATGCCACGCACCGGTCCGCTGCAGCCTATTCACCGACGTATTATAATCGAATAAACAACTCGCGCGTTGTAAGCGCGTCGGGTCTGTTAATGATACGTTCATTCGAAGAGGAACCATCGCCAAGATTACAGCACCTCGTCGGCGTGTGTTTCTCATTGCTCTCTGTCGCGATCGCTCAACTTGCACGCGCATACCAACTCGAGGCTAACGCGACATTCCCATTATTCGCCGGGAGTGAATTGAGGGCCCGCGCACTCGTGTCGCTTATGCGAATCGCTATGACAATCCATCAGCTGATAGGCCGTCGTCCGGCGAAGAGGGAGAAAGCGCCGGCGCTGAAATCGAGAGTGAGCGCGCCTTTCTCCGATGATTCTTTCTCCATGGCAGCGGATATCCAGGTCAAGTTCAATGCCGAGAAAGAGAGCTCCATTTCGCACGCTCACGAATGACTTATGCAACCGAAGCCAGCCGCAACACGCCAACACCAAGAGAGATGGACGGGCAGGTGTCAATGGCATTCCATCTCTCTCATTCTCTCTGCTTTTTATTGCCCGCATACCTGTGCAACGCGAAAACACGATCGGCGTTTACGCTATCCTGTCGGTTATGCATCGACCTTTTTATTCGATAATATTAACATAAAACGGTATTCGTACTTGAATGACAGATTGTATACGCGATAAAGGATGCCTTGGTAACAGCACGACTAAACAGTTGATAATACCGGAATGTTAGAATGTCAATAATTTGCGCTCGTCACAACGTTCACTCGTGGTATTACATAGATGCGCGAGCGAAGAGATTGATCGACAGCCAAGAGCAGTTTTTTGTCGACGTGGACCACGCGTGTCACTCTGCTCGAGGGTTCCGTTTCATCGCGTGATTTTACAACAAACTTGTCATTGCCGATTGTATAGATGTTGTATTTCTGGACGACCTTAGTACCCTCATTGTACTCATATTCTTATTTAGCGATGCGCAAACTGACTTCATCCTAATTAAATCTCCTTCTCTCTCTCTCTCTCTCACTTATGACGTCCGATAGACCGGTAGTTAATCGTCGTAAAGCACATTTTTGCTCACTCACCGACAAAATACACCTTCCTTTTCTTCGATTTTTTTTCCATCGTTGTACACTTTTACGATACCTCCATGGTCACGTGGCATGAAAGTCATTTGATGATTCATTAATTGAAAACAAAAAAAAAAGAAGATGAACTTACTCTATGCATACCACGTGTCGTCATTGAAGGAGCATATGAAAAATGCGCTTACTCGCTCGCATACAAGCTCAGCGGCGACGGGAATGTTCCGAGGCATATTAACGAACAAGACGTTATCAATAAAAAATCTTCTCGCCACGCGAATTGACGTTCTGCAAAACCTTAAAAATCGCGCGCAAGCGCACTACATCAAAGTCCCTACGAGCAAGCAAATCGCATCTGCAGACGTCGTGTGCAAACTTCGCAGAAGAAAGAAGAAAAAAAAGGAAGCAATCCCTGGGGCGAAAATCCGTCCGCGACAGAGCAGGAGAGAGAGAGAGAGAGAGAGAGGCTGGCATATAAAAAAATGTGGTGCGGGCGAGTTTCCCCGAAAGCCGCTAAAGAAACCCGTTCTGCCGGGTGCGCGTGCAGGAGAGTATCGATTTGGCGAGAGAGAGAGAGAGAGAGAGAGAGAGAGCGGGAGAAGAGACGCTGGTGCGCGTGTGACTCATCCCGAAACAACGGAGAGTGGCCGAGAGCTCGCGATAATAGTGCCGAGCCGCCGCGCGCAAGACAAACGAACCCAAGAGCGCGCTGCGTTTTTTTTCTCTAAGCCGACCATCGGGCACTTCTTCTTCTGGCCGAGGCTCCCCCTCCTGCCGCTCTCGCGAAACTTCGTCTGCCAAGTCCGACGATGATTCTGCGCGATTTCTCTTTATTGTTCGCCTAATTACAAGCTGGATTACGATCGTTCGACTTGAAACGTTGAATGCGAAGACTAATCTCGGAAAGCGAATACGCGCGCCGTGTAATTTATTTCAAGATATGAGTATTAATAACGTCGATGCCCAATCGGGTAATTTAATTTTCGTGCGATTAAAGGCCACGCTCCGCGAGTTGCACAATTCGCCGGGTATTGATTTGCTTTCATGAAACTTTAAGATAATGTTGATGGCGCAGGATGAAGGAGGCAGGGAGCGCGGGTAATTAGCATATGTCAACCTACACGCAAGTAGTAAAGATTGCGTTTGGTGAGACGCGAATTTATTTTACACATCAATCGTTCAAAGCCCATCACGAGTATAGGATGTGAGAAATGAAAATGTGAATGTTAATGATCTTGGTCGATCGGTTCGTCGACGCAGGTTTCAAGGAAGAACGAAAGTCTGTTACCAAATATCTGTTGACGTCAAACTAGTCGGACTGGCCTACTTGGAAAAGGCTATATTAAGCTTTCCCGTTTAAATAATATTCACATCCTTCTCGTGGCTGGCTCGATCAAGTTTAATGATATAATGCAACGGGCAAAACCCAAGCGCTCTGCCACAAGTTTTGGGAGCGGATGTTTTCCTTGCGAAAGCCACGTACGCAACGGGTTTTTCGCTGAAACAACGAGAGGCTGCGTCGCTGCGCGCCGCGATCGACCTTGCACTTTCGGTATGCATTTTCCGTGGGCACGATCGTCCGTTAAAGATTTTCTGGCATAATGCTCGCTAGGAACGTCGGTTGCGGTGAAACGAGTCGAGATCGCGAGAGCACTGTTATAACACAAAGTAGTTTCAAACAAAATGATTTTAACAACACGAGCAGCTCGTATTAATATTTACAGCAGCTTTTGTCAGCGTTTTCATGAATTTTAGCAAAAGCCAGATTAACAGGCTGCTTTGCTGTCTTTTTCGCAACGAGTGCCATACTACGGAACCTGGCGGGAAGATAGGTGGCGATCTACATATTTATTTTGTGCTCTAATTATTCCATGAAGATTTACTTGCGCTGACGAGCAATGATCAACTAACGCGCAATAGAACGTTACTGCAAGTACGTAGCCATGAAACGTGCATAAGTTGTCGTAATGTTTGCTGACAGTGTGGCTCGAGCTGGTGTCCTCGCGCGGGTCTACCCGTGTACGCGATCGCAACCAATTCGGCGTGATTAACTTGGCCGGCGAGAGGTACAACAGCCACGAGAAGCGACAAGGAATAATTGATTAGCCGACGAAGGAAAGAGAGCGGCGAACGCAGCCGCGACTGCAGCTCGGCCGAGGCTCGGCTCGGCAGTGAGCCGCGGTGGCAGAGGCAGCAGCGGCCAGCGCATCTCTGCGGCGGCCTCGGCGCGCGAGGAAGCGGCGGCGCATGCGCGCCGATCGGCCGACTCATCCTCCCCCCGTGGCCGGCGTCGGTGGCTGGTCCTTTTTTCCCCCGTGCGCGCGCGCGCGCGCGCCAACGTCGCGACGGCGGGCGTCGTCCCCCCTTTTTCATCCTGTGGCGGCGGCAGGACGAGCCGCTGCCGCTGCGCATCTTCCCTCCCCGCGTAGACCGGAGACCAGCAGCCAGCGGCGCTCCGGAGCGCGCGCGAGAGCGAGAGAGAGAGAGAGGGGCGAACAGCTCTCTGCCGGCGTAAGGTATTTAAGGTACCGTGGCCCGGCCGCGCACGAGTAGTTCACTCGTAAACGGCGCGCCGGCGTGAGAAAAGCCCCGGCCACAGGCTGAGCTAGGGACACGCGTCGACACACACGCTCACTGCTCACTCTGCGAACTGACACGCACGCGAGCGCGCCTCCCGATCGAACGCCAGTGCGAGCAACCACAAGTGCGCGATACCGAGTCTCTCTTTTTTTACTTTTTCCTCTTCTTTTCTTCGGCGATTACGACTCTCTTGTCGCGCGCGCCAGTGAGCTCTCCCGAAACGTAGAGACGGGCAGACCTCTCGTCTCCGTGGCGGCTTTCGCTCCAGCGCTTTCGAGCCGACGAACGCCAGCGCGCACAGGGACCTTTGACTGCAAGCCGAGCGCACGACATAAGGTAAGTGCCTGCGGATCCGAAACCAAAGTGCAAAACATTCGGCCAAGTGCGAAAACTCAACCTGCGATCGACATGTGCAGTGATGTTGTCACGCCGAAGGATCGCCCCGCGAGTGTATGCGAGTGAGCCGGTCGACGAGTGCATCTTTCTCGCGCAGTCTATCGTATCCATTGCAACAGGCTCACGCGCTTCACCTATGTGACGTCGCCTCCGAAATCGCGCTGCTTGGGCTTATCGCGGCGAGCTTCCATTTTAATCGACGATCGCGATGACAAGATGTGCGCTTGCGAGTCCTTTTCGATTTGATCGGACGTGCCGCTGCAATGACGGAAGGAAAGCGGAAACCCAAGGGCGACAGCAGAAGTCGCGCACGCCGGAATATCCCATAGCCACGGCGCGTCTCTCTTAAAATTCGTATGTCTCGCTGCCGGGCAGGCTCGGGCGTGAATTTCTTCTTTTCATCCTCCCCCTCGCCTCGCTTTGCGATCGCCGCAGCAGCTGGCAAGCAATTGGCAAGCAACTTTGTTTGCGTAAGCCATTACCGCTCGTTTTCGAAGGTCACCAATTCACGTACTCTTAATTAACTTTAACATGTATCTGATAAGGATTGCGAAACAATTTTAACGATGGAGCCTCAGAAGGAAAATTGATGAGAAAACCAATTGATTCGCTTTCAGAGTTGAAATGCAGTCGACTAGCAATAAGCAGTATGAAAAGGTTGCCAATGAGCGCTGGCGTCCTAACAAAAAGAGAGAAAAAAAAAGAAGTAGATCGGCGAAAAGCAACGAGCAACGACAGATGCGACGGACATCGACAGGTCCGAAAGAAAATGTTGGTCAAACGCGATGTGCTCTGTCGTGCTTCATAGCGTATTCAGTCGATCGGATATTCCGTGTGGCTCGCGCTGCGCTGCGCTCTTGTCATTCAGCGCGTGATCGGTAATCGGCGCTATACGCACCCACGAGCGACCGACATAAAGCCCGCGATGGCACTTTGCGCGCGCACGGGGAAATTCCAGAAGTTGGCGCTTCTCTTCGCTCGCGGACTCGTGCCAACTTTAACGGTTCCCTCGTCGCGCGGGGCGAGCCAAATCGGGCACGCACGGAGCGCGCGATTCGTCAAAGAGAGACGGGCGGCGAGCGACGCCGCGAGCGAGCAGCCGAGCGCAAGTGGAATCCCTTCGGAACGAGCGCGTCGCGTAAGCCGATCTTCCGAAGGGGATCGATTTTCAGGCTACGAAGGCGCGCTGCGCGAGAAGGCCAAAGCGTAACGAATCTCGCGCGCGCCAGCCACGAGCTTGTGCGCTCGCTCCGTACCTGCCGCTCTTCTGCAGCGCCAGAGAAAAAACGGCGGAGCGGCGAGCGCCTCGCGCGGCGAGCAACTCGATACGTCGGCCCTTGCGAGAAAGTGCGTTTTCCCCGTCTGTATTATGATGCACGCTGCGCGGCGACAGATCGCTCTCGCGGGGGTTAATGACCCTGGCACCTACGAGCAGAGCGCCATTATCGATCGCACTGGCACGCTGCCCCGCCGGCGGTGCAGTAATTAGCCGTATCGAGCAGTCGATCGCATGCCGGCGGTTCGACGATAACATTTCGGACGAAATCAATGGAGCGTCGCGCGTCTTGTCGCGGCAACCAAGTCAAACATCCGAGTGCGCACGAGAGCAGCTCGGCTCGCCCGGTCGAGGACAAAGGGAGCGAGGTTGGAGAAAAAAAACCGAAACGAGATCAGTAACACCGAAGCAGCAGAAGAAGAGACATCTTTGGACGGTCTATAGCGGTGGAGAAAAATCGACGGAAGCGATCGAGGCCGTATAGTTTTCTCACTCGCTCGTCGGAAGTAGCCGTCGTTTCGGATAGAATTCGGAGCGAAGTTCGCTAACGGTTGTCTCTCTCTCTCTCTCTCTCTCTCGCTAACCAATTTTACTTTTTTTTCGTTTCTCTCTTTTTCTGCCTCCTTCCCCCCTCGCATGCACGCGTCGGCTCTTCGTTCCGCCTTTTTTTCGACTTTCACGTTAGAGTCGCGCGCTAACGGTGAAAAGCATTTTTTTCCTCTCTTGGCCAAGAGGAGAGTGCACAAGCGCGTGGGCTCTTTTCGTTTCGAGGATATAAGGTTTCGGAGAGGAATCTCTCTCTCTCTCTCTCTCTCTCTCTCTCTCTCTTTCTCTCTAGAAAGAGATCTACGCGGCCGATGCTTCGGCGAGTGCGCACCGCGCTGCGCTGCAGTGGTGATTTATGCCCCGGCCGTTTCGACGCTCTCGCGCGCGGATATTTTTATGGCGCGCGATATAGGCGTGGAACATTGAAAAAGCACTCGATTCAATTAATTCGCTCTAGAAAACTGGCAGCTTTGAGAACTGCTGCAAAAATAAAAGAGAGAGAGAGAGAGAAAAAAAGAACTGTTCGCGCGAGCACGAAGCCGCCCGCCGCGCCGCAGATACGTGCATCCATATGAAGCTTGCTCGTGCTTGGCATCGAGTCTCTGACCGGCCGTCCGGGCTAGGTAATTGGCCTCGTTTTGGCTAACGACAGTGGCGGCACGCGCTCCAATTTCATTTTCAACGAAGAGAAAGGAAAGAAAGAGAAAGAAAAAAAAGCATAAGCCCTCGTCGAAAATCGGTCGTTAAGGGCTCGGACACTTGGTGCATGAGATTGTGCCAAAGGGAGAAAAGAAAAATGGCAAAACTCGGCCGCGGCAAACTTCGTTCCGAGTTGATTCCCCTCGAGAGGCAATTGCAAACGCGACGCGCAGAGATCCGAAACGAGTATGAATTTCGGTCAGTGTGTGAGGCGTGCAGATCGGCGAGGTGCGATTATGTAAAACTCATGCTCGCGCGCGCTTTACGGTCATTGATTTAAAAGAGAGAGAGAGACACGGGACAGCTTAAGCATGAATACTTAATAAGTCTAAAGGATTTATGTACACAAAACGCGAATGAATCCGTATATCCCGACCCGAAGTCCATTGACCCGCTTCTCAAAACAGGATTCGCATTGCGGGACGACAAAAATCCTTTTATTTTTTCTCGCTCACTCTCGCGCGCCGGTCGCCTATCAACCAAAGCCGATTGGACGAATTTCCGCTCTTGCACGTTCCGCTCCACTTCGCCTGACGCGTGATGTGTGCCGAACGACCGTCGCGTTAAGCATCTCTCGAACGATTCGTCAACTTTGCTCGATAGGCCTGCGAACGACGCTTGTCTACATGCTAATTATTTCGCGTGTGTCCGAGCGGTCGAGGTGAAGGATCGGCGAGGAATCCTTGGCCGAGAGAGCGAGAGAGAGAGAGAAAAGAAAGTCTCGGACGAGCGGATCAATCACCTCGCAAGACAAATCGACGAGGCTGGTACATACGGATAGCGTTACGCGTCGTAAGCGAGGCCGACGAAGCACGCGATCGGAACGAGTCAATTTTTGCTCGGGCAAATTACTCGGCCAAACTCGGCTTATCTCAATTTCTGCGCACGCATAAATTCCGCTGCCCCGATGGGCGAACGGTACGCGTCCGAGCGACGCGCGCTTCTCCATACGCTGGGCAGCCTCCCGCGAGAGCTCGCGCATCTCCGATGACGTTGAACCGCGGCGGCGCGACGAAAGCCACGCGCGCGGCCAAAGTGTTTCGAATCGAGGGCTTTTTCATTTGTTTTTGCCGATCGATCGAGGCCGCCGCCAGCGCCGGCCCGAGCGACTTAATTGTTATAGCTGCGTTGCCGCTCGAGTGCGCGCCCGAGCGAGCGCCGCCAGCGAACCCGCGACCTACGCGCTCGATTTTACAACGCTGCAGGCCGGTAATTTGATTTTACGCCGCGATCTCGCGTCGATAATGAGGATGCGCCGTTAAAGGTTGCCCCCGGAGAACAAAAAGAGCCGCAACGGCAGCCGCGGGAACGCGCCATTAGGTGATTAGCCACGTCGGCTATCTTATCGGCTTGTAAGCGGCTTTACGTAAGAGAGCCTTTTTCGCGAGGCCGCTCCGCGCTCGCGTCCGTCGCTGCTGGTCGGCCACAGCTTTTTACTGCCCGGTAGGCTGGCGGTCTGTCCGCGATGGGCAAGGGCATTCGATCCGTGGTTCGTTCCCGAACGACGCCGTGCACGGGCTGCGACTGCTACTTTCGTTTCGCTGTCCGCTGCGGATCATACTTGGCGCGATTCTCGAACGGAAGCCTCCGATTACCTTGGCGCGCGTGCAGATTTCATCAAACAGCGCACGCGAGCAAATGTGACAAGTCACGTAAGCGCGATCGAGGATGGCTAATTCGTACGGCGAAGAGAAAAAGAGCGTCCCGAGCGAATCCCACGGGAATCCCACGGGCGGGGGAAAAATCCATAAACGCACTCGCGCAACCGTACGACACCAGCGGAATTCGAGGTTTCGGTGTCTCGAAGGTGAAACGGAAAATGCAGCGGGGGGCTCTTTTTTCGCAAAAGTGTATCAGCCGGCTAGTCGCACGCCCGGCACACGACCCAGAAACAAAAAGAAGCGAAGTATGTAACTGACCGTGATGTCGTAAAAATGCGTTTTCTGTCCGTCAGCGCCGCACGCTTCACACTTCGTTGCTGCTCGCGGACGACGTATATCCTTCGTCGCTTCCTACTGCTAATAGTCCCGTATGATTCTTTTTTCTGGACAGAAAAAGAAACAAAAAAAAAAGGAAAAAATCACGCACTCGGGCGCAATTCTCGTCGCGTGTATTGTATTAGTCATTCCGAAAATCGCGGCTAGACATTGTTTCACGAGTTCTCACGGGGACCTGTTCTGCCGCTACAGAAGCAGGTGACATAAATGAATAAATTACACGGGATTCCGTACGAGGCACATGGCGTAGCCTCTCGGCATGAAAAATGCCGAGGAGCCGAAGCCGAGGCGTTCAGTGACGCAAGATAGGCCGCCGTCGAGCGGCCAGGCGTAAGAGTTACGTCGATGAAATATTGGACGACGTGCCATCGCCGGCGATCGGCAACGGCAGCGGGTCCGTACTATAGGCGAGCAAGGAGGCC